ATCTTAATATAATATATTTTAAATTAAACTTTAAATATAAATTATATTTTTAAAATTTAAAAAATAAAATATAAAAGTTTTTAATATTAAATTATTTATAAATTTATAATAATTTTTATATTAATTAATAAGATTATTATTTATAAGTTTAATATTAAAAATTTTTAATAATTTTCAAAAATTTAAAATATAAAATAATTAAAATAAATTTTAAATTAATTTAAAAAATAAAATATTTAATTTTAAATTTATTAATAAATATTAATTTTAAAATTTAAAAATTAATTTTATATTAAAAGAAAATTAAAAAGCTATATTTTAATAAATAAATTTATTATTTAAATAAAAATATTTTAAAATATTAATATATTTTTTTAATATTAAGTTAAAAAAATTTTAATTATTTTTTTTTAAAAAAGCTAAATATATAATTAAAGAATAAATTTTAAATTTAATTATTATTATTATTCTTAAACTATTATTTTAATTAATTTAATTAATTTTATAAAATTAAATATATATATAAATTTTTTAATATATATAAATTTAAACTTATAAATTTAATTTATAAAATAATTAAATAATAATAATAATAATAATAATAACTATAATTATGAAGAATAAATAACTACTTTATATCAATTAATTAATATTTTAATTATGATATAAAGATTTTATTCAGTCAATGTAGTTTAATAATATTTATTATTTAATCATTCTTATTAATTATAAATCATTGATTTTTATAAACTAACTTTAATATTAGACAGTGCTGATTCTTATCTTTCAAAATAATCACTAATGATATAATGATCTTTTTTATACAAAGCTTCAATAATCATAATTCATTCATTGTTTTTCTGAATGACTATTTTTAAACTCTTACTCTTTTCAACTGCAGTGAACTATCCTGGGATCAGTGCAAATCTGCATGCAGATCGAGAGGGTATGCTAATATAAACCCATGGAATTTGAACGAATTGCATTTCGTTTCCCCACTAACATGAATATGTAGTGTGCCTATACCTCGTACGTATCTGGAAAGAGGGCAACCAGGCCATCCAGTGGTAACCCAACAAATCGGCCATCCTGTCTGTGCTCATCAGTTTACAGGCCATGGTTCTATCCGAGTAACTACCAGTAACTACCACTAGGAGCCCGCTCGAAGCGTTGAAATGGAGCTGCAAGCAGACGCCAACTCACGAACAATATAACCGACAATCACGGCCAAGGAGTCTCAAGTTCGCAACGATTGCTGGCTACAAGAGCCAGACAAAACGGAATGGTATTTGGAGGGATAGGTGAAGGCACATTTTGCCAGTGGTGTTAAGAGTCTGTAGTTAAGGACATCGCGTCGCCATTTAACAATAGAATATATCATGACAACATATTGAAAACTGGAAGAGCTACAGCAGGATAACTAAATGTTAAATTGCCATTGAGGCATCCACCTGGGGTCGTGGGCAAAGGGTATCAGATAATAGGAACTCTTTGATAAGTCAATACAGAATCAGCAAGTGGTTTAGTGAATGCTGAACAACCGGAGGAGTTAGATGACTCTACAGAGCATATTTACCCCCTTCGGTCCCCTGAAAGGAGAGCTCTCTCTGTGTTGTTATCATTCATGTCGATCCGTTTAGGGAGTAAATCCGATGTTTGACCTGAAGATAGGATAATTTCTCTGGGCATCTTGGCCATGTAAGCGTTCCGGATAGTTATTGAAGTAGCTCACTCCACTACATCTTAGTTAGCCAATGGGTCGGCTCTTATTGTGCCCTTGGTTCCTGGGCACTAAATAGCCACCCACCGGGCGGGCGGACTCCGCGCTGAACGCTGAAATCCGCTTGAGAAACTTGATGCCTGTGAGAATTCCGATTTTTGACTACTTGCCGATCCTTTAGGCCCGTATTTCTCCAAGGACAGTTTGTTTGGACATCGCACTATCATCTGTTCTGGTAACTAAGCTCCATTCTCACTCCGGGCTTAATGTCAGCTAGATAACCGCTCAGTGCATCGGAATCTATTTAAGTTTTCGGAGGTGCAAAGGGTGGAAATGTCATTTGACTTAACTCCCAAGGAAGAGCCATGTTTTGCCTTGTGCATTCTTGGTTCTTGGTGGAAACTTCAGTGCAACAATGTAAGGCTATCCACAGTGACGATATTTGGGTTAAGTTTTTTGCAACCAGTTAGCGAGTTCCCCATAGGCTTGGGCGGGATCCCCAGTTTTTCCCAGGGAAGAAAATTGCGTAACATCATCGTTTGGCATGCAACAAGGGTGGAGTTGGTCGGTTCCATTTTCATGAATGATTGGGTTTACACGAGGGGCTATCTTAGACACTTAGTTATCACTGCATCGACGTCACAGATATATTTGGCGAACCCAGGGCGTGTGACTAAGGAAGACCGCAGAAGGTCGCTGATAACTAATGCTCCCTTTGTCTTCCTGAACTTCCACGCTCAAAATCCTCTACTCCCTGCCAGATCTCATTAGCAGAGCCCAAGTCCGAGTGCTATGCGCAAGCAAAGGCTTCCGGGGCTTTGGTGTGTCTTATCTACCCACCAGCATCCTCCGCCTGTGGCCCCCAATCGTGTGGGGGAGGGGGATTCCCTACAGTTCACCGGGCCGGATACCGTTCAAAAATTCAGCGATCCGCCCTGAGAGCATTCCCGGGTTTTGAGAACGCAGAAAAGTTCTCCTCTTTAACTCTCCCTGTCACCCTCAGTCCCTTTGAACTCCAGTTATTCGTGGATACCAGTGGCTGCGAGCTTGCGCCAGGATGGTAAGAGGTCCAGTTGAGGATGTCTCGCTGCGCAACGGCTCGGGGGATGCCAATGTCAATGCAGATGTTGCACTGGAAAAAATGGGATACAAGGGGGAGGCTGCCGCGAAATTTGGGAATGTTGAGTGTATTGGGCCTGTACGTTTTTTTTTTCTTTTCTTATCACTTCAATCACTTGCCCTGTCCTACATTGTTTGGTTCAGTGCCTGGAAGCAATACAACCACATACTCGGCGGGTTCAGTATAATAGTAAATACAATCTGACAAGGGGAACGGAAATTGTTTCACAGGTCCTTTGCTATCATGGCCGTGCCTTTTGGCCTCAGTACAACCCTGTATGTCAACCTGATCAACGGACTCTGCGTTACGATCATTTGGGGCTGGGTATTCGTCACTCTCATCTCAATGGCAATCGCCGCATCGCTGGCCGAAATCTGCTCCGTGTATCCTACAGCGGGCGGCGTATACTACTGGAGTGCAATGTTGGCGACAAAGAAATGGGCACCATTGATGTCTTTTATCGACGGTTGGCTGACGCTTGTGGGCAACTGGACCGTCACCCTCAGCATCAACTTCTCTGGAGGCCAGCTGATTCTCAGCGCTGCAACACTATGGAAGGAAGATTTTGTCCCCAATGAGTGGCAGACAGTCTTGATGTTCTGGGCAGTGATGCTGGTTTGTGCTTTGGTTAATGTATTTGGTGCAAAGTACCTATATATCATTAACAAAGTATGCATATGCTGGACGGCTGCGAGTGTGGTTATTATTATGGTTACTTTACTATCCATGGCAAAACATAAGAACCCAGCCAGTTTTGTATTTGGGCATTTCGACGCCTCCACAAGTGGATGGTAAGAAGGCTTCCATTTGTTTCCTATTCTCCACAACTCACAACATTTTGTCCATAGCTAAATACTTCCTACTAACTCCCCCAACCACCAGGCCGGACGGCTGGTCCTTTTTTTTAGGGTTGCTTCAAGCCGCATACACCCTAACAGGGTACGGCATGGTGGCAGCAATGTGCGAAGAAACCCAAAACCCTCACCACGAAGTTCCCAAAGCAATCGTCTTATCCGTTGTCGCAGCCGGCATTACGGGCATCGTCTATCTCGTCCCGCTTCTCTTCGTCCTCCCCCCCGTCGAGCTACTCAGAGCTGTTGCTAGTGGCCAACCGATCGGTCTCCTCTTCAAGACCGTTACCGGTTCCGCAGCAGGTGGCTCCGGACTCCTCTTCCTACTTCTAGGGATCCAAATATTTGCCGGAATCGGCGCCCTGACGGCTGCAAGCCGATGCACATACGCCTTTGCACGGGACGGTGCGATCCCCGGATCCAGGTTGTGGTGCAGAGTTAACAAACGCTTTGACGTACCGTTGTGGGGTCTAACCTTATCCACACTCATTGATTGTCTGCTGGGACTCATTTATTTCGGCTCTCGCCAGGCATTTTTCTCCTTCACAGGTGTCGCGACCATCTGTCTCTCAACCTCGTATGGGGTGCCAATTCTCATCTCTGTCGTGCGCGGACGCACAAAGGTGAGAAATGCACCCTTCTCGCTCGGCAAATTCGGCTACACTATCAATGTCGCGGCAGTAGCTTGGATTGCATTGGCCACTGTGCTGTTTTGCATGCCTCTTTCCTTACCCGCGACGCCGTCAACGATGAATTATGCTAGCGTAGTGTTTGCAGGGTTCGCAGTGACCAGCGTTGTGTGGTACTTTGTGCGGGTGCGCAAGGAATTCAAAGGCCCTCCTGTTTTGTTGGAGGGTGATGATGTAAGGGATGTTACGGTAGTCAATTTGGGAAAGCCTCATCCGCATGTTGGGGAGGGATCGGAAGAACTGTCGAGTCCCGACGAGCGGCACAGGGAGTATTTGAAGACAGCATAGCAAATACTCTTTGGCCGTTGATGGCTGCTGCTTTCCCCCCCCCCCCCTCCTCCCTCCGTTTTTTCTAGAAACGGGCGGAATCCACGAGTTAGATTCTGGGTGTTGATCCATTTTTGATTTGTACATCGTAGTTTCGCATGTCCTGAACTTAAATGTTCTATATGGCTGCTGATAGAATACTTAATGTTAACAAGATCGCATCAGCGGCGGCTCTACGTCCTCGACGATGCGTTCTGTCAATATACCTGGTCGGATATAACTATCCCATAGCAAATTCCTAGAAATTGGTCTGCCCTTCGACTTGTCTACGTCTAAGAACAGGTTGTCTCGTCCAAGAACAGAGCCAACTCCCGGATTCGCGTTTTTTCAACATTCCTCAACCGTTATTTGTTTGGCTTCCCCGTCAGCCTGACGGAACCGAGCTCAAACGAATTGGAGACTCCTGTCACAGCAGTTTGGAACCCACATTGAATGGCTGGCTGCGTCTCCAAGGGGTGATAACAGGTGATTCCAAAGGGTAAGGAGGATGAAATGCTCGACAAAAGACTTCAGGCTGAGTTGAACTGACCCTGCCATGTGCAATCTCCCATTGTTTAATCAACCGAGAACTCCGTACCTCATTTTGGTGGATCTCTATGTGCAATACCGCAAACGCTTTTCATCCGCATCGTTAGCTAGACATCTAGGGAGGTAATGCGACCTGCGACTTGATTGAATTGGCCAAACACCAAGGACACTTACACTAAAGTAGTGAAATGTATCCCTGATAGACGGGTAGCTATCCATGGATTCGCTATGGTCCGATGTAAGGGATTAAACTATGCGACACCGGGGGACATTAGAATGTCTCTATTCAACTAATTACCGCTACTGCAAATTTTGGACTTCTTTGTCCTGCGAGTAAAAGATATAACTAACTCTCCGACAGCACCATAGTTACCCTGTATTAAATTCTCTATAGAACTATATGTCGACCTCACAACCTGAAAGAACTCTCAGACCACCCATGGATGTCAATGAATGGCCAGCTCTTCCGGCTTCAAGTTGATTGGCCCTAGGCAAGTTCTGTTGGCAAGTCAAGCTAACTAGTTAACTTTACTTGGTTAAACAACCAACAACCATTTCTCAACATGAAGTATCAACGGCAATTCGTTCAATGTCTGGGGGGTCAACTACCTAGCAAACTTTACCCTCGCTAGATGAATTGGGGATCCCCCTCTTTGCAACACTGGTTTCACGGGGATTCTTACGATTATCCGTTTCAAGAAAAGCCATGATGAAATCCACCATAGTTAGCTCACTCTGACTCGGTTGTCCAAAGACGCCATTCAGCCGTAGTTGCAAGCCGACTCACGGCACTCAACCCTGGCCAGTCTTCTTTTGGCGAATACCCGAATTGGCCCCCAGTAGGGAGAGCATATCTGCGATATTCCTAGACATTGACCACTAATTCTTGGAGATTGCCACAATCACATTCCATGCCCGGAAAGCTCTGGGTCCCGAAAATTGCGGGGGTGGGGTGGGGAAATGCCCCTCGGCGATGGTTGCTTAGCATCGTCCTGTGTGTGTAGTTATGTGTCTGTGTCTGTGTTAAAAGGCTGAGGTGAGGGGGAAATCCTACCTACCCAGCTGTTCTAGTGAAGAATTTCATCTTCTCTATATATTTCTTCACTTCCTTTCTTCTCCTAAGGTCTCGCTTTTGCCTTGGTTCCCAAGTCCCAAAAGATATATTTTTCCTCAATTTTTCCTCATCACTCTGGTGCCGCAACAAACAAACACTGGACACAACTTCCTGTAGCTACAACATCTTACCTAAGTTCACTAACTAGGATATCGCCAAAATCGATATCAGACAACATGTCATCAACTAAGAAAAGAGTTGCCCAGGTTGCTGGCATGCTCACAGACGCGAAGTCTCCTGATCAGCTGCCCTGGGATCCTGATATCACAAACCTCCCTCTTCGTAAGGATCTGCCTAAGATCCCCGGTGCTCCTGAGGGCGCCGCTTGGGTTTGGGGGAAAGATGACTATGTGAGTGGAATGCAATTCTTCATAAAGGGCTTCCGATATCAATACCAACAAACATTGAACTGACGTGTGATTGTCCAACAGGTTGGTAGACTGAATCTGCTTACACCAAAGCGAGTCAAGGCCGCCGCAGAAGAGATCAAGACAGGCGAGATTGTGCCTCTTGAGTACGCAGTGACCCCATAGCATAAGAGAATGTGTCTGGGAAGCCTGTCAGGGATGCCTGCCTTCGAAGAAAGCTGACAGACTTCATGTATATGTAGCCTTCCGTTGAACGTCCCAGAACAGCCTGGATTTGGTCGTGAGAAATTTGTCCACACCATCAAGGCCCTGGTTCCAGGAATCGCCTATGACGATAAATACGAGCTCAACACTCAGAGCGGAACCCAGTGGGATGGCTTTAGACATGTATGTGTGCTGTCAATAGCGGAACTGTGACTTTTTTTTACAATATAATGGCTAACATGTTCCCTGTTCGAAGTTTGCTCACAGAGCGTCTCAAACATTTTATAACGGGGTGCGCAAAACTCTGTACTATCGTTATGGCAAAAGCTTTGCCGTTAATTTAACTTACCTTCACAGACCACGGGAGACGACATCATGGGCCCCAATTCCAACCACAAATGCAGCATCCACCACTGGGCCAATACCGGCATCGCCGGGCGTGGCGTCCTCCTCGACTACCGCACCTACGCCAAAGCCAACGGTATCAACTACGATCCTTACACCTCGCACGCTATCACTTTTGACGAGCTCATGAAGTGCGGTAAGGCCCAGGGCATCGACATCCGCCCTGAGTCTCAGGGTGGAGATATCAAGGTCGGCGATATCCTCCTAGTCCGCTCAGGGTTTGTCGAGAGTTACTATGAACGTACTCCGGAGGAACGCACGAAGCTAGCTTTGCGGGGGCATGCCCCTGAAAAGTTAAAGGAGGGTGACAGGGAGCAGTCTGAGAAGGAGCAGTATGCCGGGTTGGCGCAGGAAGAGGCCATTATCGACTGGCTGCATGACTGCTACTTTGCTGCCGTCGCGGGAGACGCCCCGTCCTTCGAACGCTGGCCAACCCCAGTCTCATACTTCTTGCATGAGTATATCCTTGCGTTATGGGGTATGCCTTTAGGCGAGATGTGGGATCTGGAGCGTCTGGCAGGGAAATGTCGCGAGAGGGGGAGGTGGTTCTTCTTTGTGACAAGTGCCCCTGCAAATGTCCCTGGTACGTATTTCTTTGCTTCTTTCTGCCTTTCCAATTCCTCAATTCCTCAATCCCTTCCCTTTTTTCTTTTTCTTTTTCTTTCCCCCCCCCAACTGCTCTAACTTAATCGCCAGCTGGCGTGAGTTCCCACCCCAACGCAACGGCAATCTTCTAAACCAGAGTGATGAAAGAAACGAAAGCAATAGGACAATGGTTGATGCAGGGAAGTGTGGAGTTGAATTAAATATGATGCGTGATGATACATCCATGGTATGCCTTTCATGAGACTTCCGTGTCAACGTCTGACTTGATGCATGCAGTTATTTATGAAGGCTGTTGAAGGGCTCAGCTGTATTATGAGAGAGCTTTTCATTTCATTTTCTTTAATTCCCCTCTCAAAGGAATGTGAATCCATTTCCTGGTTGCTCTGTATCAATTCAATTGTGAAATTTATTCTCTTCATTAAGAAAAGCTGCAAGGGTAACTAAATAGTTCTCAACTGGTTAATCCTCCTGTCTTCAACAAATAGTAACTATCAGGTATTCTGATATCTAGAATTATTGTATCTTCATCTAATGCAAGATCAATTGCCCATCTTATTATACTTATAATCCCCAAAAAGGGGGCCACAAGAATAATCAAACTTGAACAGTGATCCGTGTTATCTGATATAGCATACCCCCCCCCCTCTCCCTCTTTATTTATATATTTATATATATATTTACAGTTTTGCCTTCTTCGCCTCTTCCTCCTCCTTAGCTTTCGTCTCCCGCTTCTTAGCTTCTTCGATTTTCCTCGGACCCGCAAATCCAAAGATGTACGCCGCAATCTTGCGCATTTGAATTTCCTCGGAGCCCTCCGTGATGCGATACCGACGGAAGTGGCGGTAGATGTGTTCGAATGGCTTGTGACGGGAATACCCGTTGCCGCCATGAATCTAGAAACAATTCAATCAACGCATCAGCAATACTCTCTTTTCCTAGAAGTTTCGTAGGAATCTCATATCTTACTTGAATAGCTCTATCCGCAGCCTGGCAGCACAACCTATTGGCCCAAAAGTTACACATAGCCACCTGATCGCTTAACCTCTTCTCAATTTCCACCCATGGCTTCTTAGGCCCAGTTACAGGGGCGTCCCCATGTCCTCCACACTCCGCTGTAATCTTGTCCATCTCGCAACTTGTCCGCAATATCAGAAGCCTCAACATCTCCACCTGCGTCATCAATTCTACGACTTGAAACTGAATTGCCTGGTTATCAGCAAGCGTCTTGCCCTTGCCCCACACCTCCCTCTCCTTCGCATACTCAATCGATTTGTCAAGACAGAAGCGTGCAGCGCCACACGAAGATGCCGCCTGCCGGATCCGATTCTCATGCACAAAAGTCTGCGCAATTGCAAGCCCCATGTCGAGTTCGCCAAGAATTGCGGAGCGGGGGACGAACACATCGTCCAGCCCCACCGTGGCATGGTCCGTTGGCATGTTGAAGGTCCATTCGTAGCTGATCAAGTTGATACCGGGAGTTTTGCGCGGGACCAGAAAGGCTGTGATTCCTCGCGATGACCCCGGCTGGCCGGACGTACGCGCGAAGACTATCATATGCGTACAGTGGTGAGCGCCCGTTTGCCATTTCTTAGCTCCGTTGATCACGAAGCCGTCGACAGCATTGGCGGGGCCCGAACCAGCGGGGTATTCTCTGCGATCTGGGAGGGCAATTGTCTCCATGAAGGTGGCATCGCTGCCGTGTTTGGGCTCCGTCAATCCAAAGGTGGCGCGATATTCTCCCCTAAGGCGGGCGGGGATGAGGGTGTGGCGTTGTTCTTCGTTACCAAAGTGATGCAACATTAGTATATCAGGGAAGTTGCCAACGACGCTGTGCTCATTTTGCAGATCGTTGGCGAGCGAGACGCCTCCGCCGTAGACCGGGTGTGAGGCTAGGTGGTAGCGAATGGCGCTCATCCAGAGATTTGTGTTAGGGTTTGCTGCTCCGCCGTATACCTTGGGGAGAGGAAAACGGTAGAAACCTGCTTGATCGGCAAGTTTGCGTGCCTGGACTGGTACAGTGTACTTTTAGCATAATTGATCTTGCAATTTGACGATCGCAATGAGTTTTACAAGTGGACGTAAATCTTGATAGGATCTAACCTAGTATGTCCTCCCATTCCCTCCGTGGCAATCCTTCATTGTCCCAATCAGTCCGTGCATGTTCTCGTCGATAGTCAAAAAACCTATTATTATCTCCAGCATGCTGCAATGGGAGAATTGTGTTTTGAATGAATTTGTCCAAGGACGAGATATGGGAAACGAGATCTGAGGGAAGGTCAAAATTCATGCTGCCCTGCGACTGCGACATAGTATTTGGATTTTCTACAAGAGAGCACTAGTTAATGAATTGAATCGTTCTATCCTATCTATCAAAAGGTACTATCTCTGCTGGTAACGATACTTATATGAGCATCGTTGTCTTGTCTCAAAGAAAGGATAACCGAGGTCGCTGCTAGGTACTCATTTAAAATGTAATGAATCCCAAATATAAGAAATCGGCAAGCATTTTCTCATCACACCGAAATTACAACAAGATGGTTCCGGGGGAGGATCATTGATGGCCTTTGCCGCTGTCAAAGCCTTCCCCGCATTTGTTTAAACGCGATGATGCCGAACCCCTTCCTCGGCAAACGGCTGATTCGGCTATTTGATTGCCGTGCCAAGAGCAATTGCCGATATTGCCGACCTTCGCCTGATTGGGCATGCTAGACTTCTGGAGACAACAAAGTGTGGTATACTCGGGATGTTTTTGGCCTGGCGTTGCTATGTGATAAAATGATGTAATTAATGAGATATCTTGAAATCATTTCGTCCAATTATCCATTCTACCTATGGGTATTGCTTTTTGAAGCTACACTGTCTCCTCTGCGTTCTACGATAGATCCTCGTCTCACCACGGAAGTAAAGGATTTCTTTTCCTCTTCTTCTTCTTCTTTCACACTAGCTTAACTGGCTGTATTCTGAAAACGTGAATTTGACCTTGCTTGTCTCCCTCTGCTTCCCACAGCAATGGCCTTCAGGAGAGATGAAATAAATAGCTGCGCGATCAATCCTACCGAGCCCCCATTCATACTAAGCTCCACGCTAAAACAACCACCAACTAAGTTTGATATCAACATCTGAACTCCTCGGGCTCAGGCGTCGGCAAATGACAAATACTCATGCTTGACAGTGTTGGTGTTTTAGTTCTCGCAGATAAATAACACACAAATTATGGGGAACTCCTTCTGATGATCATATACAATCCAATCTAATATTGAAAATTTTTATATCTGTGATCATCGATGATCATGCAACCAACCGATTAAGCTTGTGGAAGTATGGTTTTAATTCATCAGTGATCTCAACCTGCATTTCTTCACAGAGAGAATGAACGATGCCGATTTCTCTATACATCACATCTAAGTATCACGTTTGATTCTCATTTTTAAACATTTTTATCATATCTCTTTCAATTAGTCTACAATTCTTGCTTTATTAAGCTCATGAATCTTAAATCTTTTAACTCCTGTGCTATTTGCCGCATCACACTTCCGTAAATCTCAGTGTGGCATCCATTTAGCCTACTATTGCTTTCCTGTAGTCACACTAATCCCAAATGTTATGAACATAATTCCTTACTCAGTCCGTTCACCAAAACAACCCGGAGGCCTTCCCCGGATAATCATGTTTTTTTGGGATTTCATGAAAGATGACAACGTAAATACCTTGATACAAACCGGGAAAAAAGGTTCACGAGTACCTTGACAATATATCTGCATTCTCGACCTAAAGGTTGGCAATATTGGGAAGATCTGCAGCAGCAGAGCATTTCTGGGATTCCGACACGCAAACAGCAGCAGTCTGGGTCCATTGGCCTTAAAACTAGCCAGAAGTGTTGAATGTTCATGACTATTACTTCTTTTTATGTGACGGCAACGTCGACCTGGAATGCAGAATATGCAATTTGGCGGACCGTATCAAAATTTTTCCTTGCAGAGGCAGAGGACGCGGAAATGGTGTTCAAGTTCATGGACAACGACAGTCTTAGCATCATCACTGTATTTTCTCCCGCGCATCTCCGTTCCCATCATGAAATGGTACATCATATCATTAATTCTCGGGTTATTGTGCACCAAAGACACCAAAAGCTTTACTCCATTCCACCCTGAATTGGAAAGAAGAATATGGTAGAAAGTCCTCTTTGTGAGCGGGAACAACGCATATTGCACCAAACACAACAAAGTTGGAGTTTTGGAATTACTGAGATGTAAAGACGCAGCTGAGTGACTCCTCGTTGCCGGCGGTAGGGAAGATGCTTGGAGATATGATAATCATAGGGTCTGTGGCATTGATCTATATACATACCCGTCTGAAACTCCCGAAGCATTTTGTTGCCAAATTGAACTTCTGGGGAAGAATCGGCATTCTTACCTGGTTAGGAGTGTCTGTATCTATGTCAATGACCGGTGTATAGCAACTTCAAAAAAAAAAAAAAGATATCTTATCTCTGTTTTCCAAGGTTGGCATGATCTGCTCCCAAAGGAATTTTAGTAGTACCTAAAAGAACGACAGAAAACTTTAATACTTAGCCATGTGTATAGCCATTTCATCTACCACCCTCGTGAACTCAGCCATACGTCCTGTACTTTATCCTTCTCAACGCCTTCTAGACTCGAATCCACCACCAGCAGATAACTGAACCCAGCAAGACAAATGCAACAGTGATTTGGCCAAATCCGAACTTTTTCCCCTACTCTAAGCGGCCGAATATTGTTCCTCGGACCCTGCCACGCAAGAATCCCATGCTCTTGACTAATTCGATCCACAATCCACCCCTTTCGATCTCCATCGGGGTCATACCATCCTGATTCGGCCACTCTTGTGCCCTCTCCGTTTTCCAACCAGGGGGTCACAACCCCCCAACCAGAATAATTGCGGCAGGGTTCTCGCCCCAGACATAGTCCTCCGCATGCGACTAATGCCTCGGGTGTGTTTCTGTATGGGTATAGACTGGCAACTTCTGCCAGGACCGTTAAGGCTATGTTGCTGAAAGAAAGATGAGACGAAGATGGTCGAGCATGTGTTACTAGCTGTTGCATATCTAGAATGACGTACGCGCCAGCATGTAGCTCGATGTCATATGAGAGCTTAGAATGAGCAATTGACTCCTTAACGCGTTGCATTGCTGGATCAAGAGCATTGAGAGAAGTGAGATTCTGCACCGATGTAGTTGTTGGGGTTGCACCGACGGAAAGGATGAAACGGCGTCCGGAATACTTTCCTACTGTTGAGGCGTATTCGACAGCAATCTCACCACGCTCGATCTCAGCTTCCAGATAAGTTACTGCTTCATTCTCGCTGCTTGAGTTATAACTATTGCCAAAATGACTGTAAAATCCGCGTAAGGATATGCTTGAGGTCTCGTCGTGCTCCGCAGCATGGATAACTGCAACGAGATCCCTGAATTCATAAGAATCAGGGCAAACTCCAGCTCTCTGATAGCCAGTGTCAAGCTTGATAAACACTCCAAGAGTATCCGAAGTAAGCTCCCGGTATTTGGCAAGGAAGGGGATTATTTCTGGAGTATCCACTAATACGGATATGCTGCCTTTTCCTAGCGAGGCTCCAAGGACTGCAAGTCGCTTGAAGCACGACGGTTGCACTGGTAAACCATAGATTATCTAAATTTAATGTTAGAACATGATGTTCGAAAATCTTCCCCAAAAAAAACAAAACAAAAAAAAACAAAAAAAAAAAAAAAAAAAAAAAACCCCTTTCCCTCACATCTATGGATCTTCCTTTTCCTTTACATTCTTCCAGGTAAGGTTTGAGCTGCTCAGCTTCGGCCAGAGTTGAAACGACTAATCGCACCGTATCGCTCTTCTCCCCGACTTGGAATCGTGTAAGCTCTGTTGTCTTATTACACATGTTAGCAGACCAACTTCTACATGATGCAGGCACCGACCTCAGGAGGAGTGCATCCCAGACCCGGCTTAAAAATGCTGAAACGTAATGAAAGGGAAGGATCAGCAATTCACCACGACCTGCATACCTTATGAGTTTTGACATGAGCGCGGAAATGAACCCCCAAAACATCTGCTGCATCGAGCATAAATTGGCAATTCTGGCGTGCAGCTGCCACATCTATAATTGCGGCCGGTCCATCGACGTCGGACAGCAAGCGCCCAACATACTGGGCTTTGATGTCCTCGGGCGAGGCATTGGGGTAATTGGCCACACCAGACATTATTTTAGTCTATTGATAAAATGCTTTCTTTTGCTGCACAATTAACTTGGACCTGGATATTTGGGGTATAAGTGATGTTGTCCCGAGAAGTCAGTTGAGGGAGACTGGAATAATTGGATAAGACTTTATTTCATCGCCCTGCACTTGTGGAGATTTTTGGGAGCCGTGGAATTTCGCATTAACGGAGGGTCAGGACTGAGACCAGGATTCCATAATTCTTACATGTCTGTTCTCAAGTTTAAGCAATGTAATTAGTTAACTAATGTGGACCGGGATATGGTGTTGATAGAACCCCTCACTTTACTCCCTTCCAAGTGAAGTCCTGAAAAGCGCATGGTTTAATCAACTTCTGACAGATGTCAAAGGTACTACGACTAATCTATATATAGTGGAAAATAGGTCACGTGTTGGAAGGGTGCGACAACCCCCCCATGTAAATAATTCCTTCAAGACACCACTTGCAGAACCCCAATTACCAAAACATCCTGGACATCCTCCAATAAACTCATCCAAAGCAAGATGGCATCCGCAAAGCAAGCAAGTTGTCCTCATTCATAAGGCTCACCGCGCCCATCCCAGTCTTGTCTCAGGGGATAATTTACAATGGGATTGTTTACTGCTCCGGACAGGGAGGAATGGATCCGGCCACAGTCAAGCTGGTCAAGGGAAACAGTTCATGAACGGTGTCTCTCTCTTGCCAATCACACCAATGCGCTTGTGATTTTCACAGCTAACACTGAGATTGCAGGAACCAATATTCCACAACCTGAGTGCTGTGCTAGAGAAGGCTACTTCAAGTTTAGAGAAGGCCACAAAAGTCAATGTCCTCCTTGCGGATATGGGGGATTTTGCTGCCATGAATGAAATATACACCATGGTGCCCAAGCCCGTAGCTACCCGTAAAGCTGAAGGGGCTTCCAGAATAACATCTTAAATAGCTCTAATGCTCATCAAAAACTATGGGGGAAAAGATGGAGAAAATGGCTCATGGTCCAGGATTATTTCGATATAAAAGTATGTCATGGGACGATCGATGTTCGTAAATGATTGATCCAAATAGATCTTTTTCCCGGTCCTGCACCTTCATCAGTTACTAGCCACAGCAAATTTTGAATAAGCCGTCCTTATTCAGTCATTACCGCTTACCATTAACTAATATGTCTCCAGTCGCAAACCCAGGTTGGCTCGATGTTGGAAACAAGAAACGGGACCTTCAAACTGACCAAAACCATGGGGCGCCATCCACATAATGTAAATTCCTCCAGATGGCGCCTTGAGACCCCAATTCGCCTTCATGCGCTGGAGCAAATTTGCGTCCACGCAAATCCAAGTTTCGTCCAATGGGTTAAAATGTGCGAATGCGGACTCCTCAATCCAGCCAACCCAATCAACCATCAGCACAAATCAGGTCCTGCAGTTTTGTTTCCGACAGCAGTGCGGAGTAAACACACAATGAATGAGACGAGATCAGAAGTTGGGAATGGCGGTGAATGCAAAGGATATATCGACGAAGAAATTGAGATATGGCCCAGTTTCAGAGGACTACCGTTGGTATATGTAATTGCCTAGCTTTTTGCCCTTTTGCCGTGCATTCGATAAGATGGTTTCGTGTCCTTGTGATAGACAACCCTACCAACCTGTTAGGGACGGCTGGCGATGTCTCGAAACATTTTCAGTTAGCATTGGGAGTTGAGCTGACAAACTGCTCGTTTACCCAAAAACTCTTCGATTAACAACGTCAGTCAATATTAACCAAGTTTTGAAGCTGCAGCATCCATAAATTCCTAAAGAAACGGTTGTCTCAATCTGAATCGTTGAATAAACAAAATCCCAGGAATATCAAATTCGCCAGGACAAAACTGGCAAGTAGAAAGTGAAAATATACGAACATTAGCAGCTGAAAATCAACCGGAACGCAGAGGAAAGGGGAGGGGGGAGGGGGTGAAGTAATATACACGACATTCAAACACGTATTTTGGATCATAGTCGCAAAGTCGACTGTGTACCCGCAAATTCTCGAAAGACCTCGAAGAAACAAACAAATAGGATTCTCATACAAAATAACATCCCAAAGAAAAGCAATATTCACATCCAAATGTAAAACAATCGTCCAAAGACATCATAAAATCATCAATGTGGACATAAAGTACAAAAGTGCAAATCCCAAATAAACACAGCAGCGGCCAATTGAACCAACCGCAGTCACGAAAATTCCAAAATCCAACGTCCGCCTTCCTACACACTGAGTAATTCGCCTCACACCTTTCTTCTTCCCCAGCAGCAAATACATTCGAAAAGGACCGCTGCTAGCTTCCACCACGAACCTTCTCACAAAAAGTCCTCAGGCCAGTCAAACTCCTGCGGTAAGGGCGCATTGTTCTCCTTCATACCCCGCCCACTAACACTTGCCGCAAATTTGACAGGCAGAGGTGGGACTGGAGGGATATCATCCCCATGTATCACTGTACCACTGCTGCAGTTGCGCTTTGGCTTGGGCTTGGTGTTGGTGTCCATGTTTGGGTCTGGATCGTCGCTGTGGCCGTGAGGAATATTATGGCATGAAGAAGCGGTGGAAGGGCAGCGGCGGACCGTGGCTTTGAGCTTAGGATCGGAGTTTGGATTTTGACCCGAATGGAGCTGGCCATCGCGAGTATGCTGGGAAGGAAAAGACGCGGAAGCCTTTTCATTATTCTTAGAGGATGGATATGAAAACAACTCGGGCTTCTGAAGTTTGGCTTTTCGGGTTGATTGGGTTCTTTTTGGAAGTAAAGAATCACCGAATCTGCCTAGATATTTGTCGGGATGTGTTGGACTTGAATCGCTGTCGTGACCTTGGTGGGTTCTTGGCGCTAAGGCCAAATTTTTTACATCTCGAGACCCAGGTAAAGTCGTCAAACTATCCTTATTATTCACCGCTGGCCCTCTTTTCTTGAGTATGGAATGAGGATTGTTCGTATCCTCTCGATCCAGCGCCCCGGAGCTTGATATAGCTTTATTCTTAAGCACCGGGTTAACTATTGGCTTCTCCGCTATCTGGCCAAGGAGAATCCTCTCAGAAGGGAGAGAGGCCAACGCGCCCGGTACGAATTTCTTCTTCCGTCCCACCCTGACGCATCCAATGTGTGAAGGAGGTATTGGCGCCAAATCTTGCACTTCCTCATCCTCAGGTTCATTTAAACTCACACGTACACCACCAAACCCACTGGCAGTCACACTCACATTCCCGTCGGCATCTCCGGGTCCCGAAATCATGCTAAGTTGCTGCTTCGCTCGCTCCAACTGAGTTTCCAAGGTAATAACTTTCTTCTTTAGTTTACGCTGCTTCTCTAAATCTCGGTGAGAATGCTGGTTTCGAAGAACGCGAGAATCCCCCTGAACGTCATCATCAATGGAATTCCCCCGCTTCGTGGATGACGTGACATTAATAAATGACGCCGCTTTACGGAGATCCTGTAATGAAGGGCGAAACACAGACTTCGACAAACTGGTGTTGTGTTCTTTGTTGGGTATCGAATTGGTGGAATGAACATGCATCCTCTGTTGTGTGTGGTCGGGAGCTTGCTTTTGCTTTTTAACGCCGTTCTTTTCCGGGCCATGGTTTCCACCGCAGGTTGGGGTGGACTTCACCGTCCCTACGTATCCAGACGCTTTGAGCTCAGCATATGCCTTCTCAGCCTGAGCCTTGCGCTCCTTGAGGACATGTCTGGGGGGTATGGTGGCGGCTGATGTGGTTGAGGCAGCTGTAGTCGTCGGCTTCGTTCCATCCTGGGACCCATTCCGAATCTCAGCGACATTATTCCAGATGCCGAAGGTATTAAACGTCGACGCAATAGCCTGTCCAAACCTGGCCAGCCCGGAGCTCTTCGTACTTGGCGTTTCTGATGCAACAGAGCTCACTGAAGTTGTAGTTGTCGACGTATACGAACGGCCATATTTCCAACCTCTACCTGGAGTACCGGCGTTTCCCCAAGCAGATGTTTCTTGGTTAGCGCTTGTATATCGATCAATTGCCTCATCCACATCCTCCCCTATATATATACCAGGCGGTTTCTCGCTAACGCGATCATTCATACTCCCCTCGAGGAACCTAGATCGGCGTTCTCCCTCTCCTGCTGGAGCCGCGGAAGCAGAGACAGAGCGAGAACAATAACGTGTCTTCCCCTGGGACTGACGTCTTCTCGAACGGAGGCGGGAAGTTGTAGAATCCTTTCCTCCATGAGCCTGGTTAGAGCTGTAGCTGGATTCTCTGTTACTTAAGGGCCATTCATTTGAGCGCATACGTTTTGGTGACTTATTCGGGCCGTCCTCATACTGATTTTCAATGTATTCGAGACCGTTAGTGGCAGTGGTCTCTCTAGAAGACTGTAGTTCTGGGCCCTTCGGGGTAACCTGGCCGTGGTTAACCTGGCCGTGGTCGTAAAGGGGGTCATGATGATAACCGGAACTATGGTTATTCGTTCCGCTAACCAATTTACGCTTTCCAGACAAGGTTAATCCTGCAGAGCCGTTGGCGGTGTCAGGGTTAACAGCTGTACGGTCACTCTCCCGCTGGTGGCCAACATGATGGCAACAGGGAGCTAAATAATATTGGTGATCGATCTGTAAGGGAAAAGTGTTAGCAGAATGGAGACAACAGCAACGGTAATAGTAACACTATCCACATCGACTACAATAAAAGACATTCAGAATATATGATACCCAATACAAACATAAACCAAACTCTTGGTGTAAAATTCCAAAGAAAGTTCGCATAAAAAAGTGTCTGCCCCGCAAAAGAGTGCTGGGTCAGAATAAGTATGAGAAACAAACAAAGAAAAGCGTAAAGTTCAAAACAAGCCACGAATTTCTAATCTGGGTTTACCAGATCTCTTCCAATGATTGGAGCAAGATTGGTTTTGGTTCGGGCCAACCATGGAAAGAAGCGTAAACCCCCGTTGCAAACGAGTAAAAGAAGGGGTCGACGCAAACTGAGGAAAAAAAAAAATATATAAAAAAAAAAAAAAAAAACCTACCTGTTCATTCACACATTCCTTAGCAGCCTTATGCTTGGAATGGTGAATCTCTGTAGTTTGTTCCTGGGTTTGCTCCTTCAGCTGTTGCCCCAACGTCAGTTCTGCAAAATGATTTGTCTTTGTTTTCTTCTGACATTTCCTGTCCCTTTTCTTTTCCTTCGCCATTATTGTGACTACTTGATTGGCTGGGTTCAACAGCAGAGGCGCAAAATGCACACGAATATCAATCAATGCCTTTGTTATGCAGCCTACGCTCAAGGGCAAAATACTCCTTGCTGCAGCTACAACAACTTCCCCTCACTCAACTCGCAGCCAGATCAAGATAGTGAACTTGTGGCCCTGCCCCGATAATGTGCGATGATTGGCACCTTTTGGGCTTGCGTTTCGGTTCCTGATTCTTTCAGAAATTCAAAATTGCGGTCAGCAAAAACAGAAAAAAGAAAAAAGAAAAAGTAAAGAAAAGAGAAGGAAGAACAGATATAAAATATCTAGGAAGTCCTGTAAAGCAAAAGCAAAATGGTCCAATGTCAGCTAACATCCCCAGCCAGTTGACTTGCAGACCGGAAAGAAGCTTCAAACAAAAGGCAATTTGAGGTCAGGTAATTCCCTACCAAGACACCTGGAAAAGGAAGCAGAGATAAAGACTGGGTCGCAAAGAAAAATTGTTCAAGTAAATCAGGGACAGGTAACAAAAAATACCAAAGAACGCAAATGAATATTCAATTTCCCCTCACCTCACAGCTGAAATCAATCAGCGCAGGAGTTAATTAAGAGAACTGGAGTAGATGATCAAATATTAATTACTAGCCCCCTTGACAAGATGGAGCCCCGAGCAATAAGCAATCAATAAATAATAACTCCGGCTTGTCGCTTTGGGTTTTGTTTGTTTGGGGGGGGCCTTCAAACAAGGTTGGTTGGTTGGATGGATCGGTTCCGAGAAACCAAGCCAACCAACCAGAGGGCGGGGCGCACTGACGAAAGGCTCGAAGCAGTGGGTAGCCAACCAAGGCCAGGCAGGTTATTCGGGAGTTTTTTCTAAGCTTGGTTTCCTTTCCTTTCGTTTCGTTTCGTTTCGTTTCGTTTCGTTTCGCTTTGTTTTTGTTTTTGTTTTGATTTTTGATATTCTCCAACTACAGCAGTCGAGGACTGGAAGAGAGAATCAGCTTGGGAGCTTGGAGTGCAACTGAGCTGTATGATGAACATTTGCATGTCAGTAAGGTGAGGTTGCTATGGTGAATGTGATTGTCACTGTCATTGTTGTTTTTGCTGTTCGGCATCATACATGCCATGCCCACTGACAAACCGTGATGGTACGGCGTACAGAGTTGAGATTTGGCGGTGGACTGAACTCAACACGCTCCATACGCTGTATTTTGCCGTGGGCAACTTGGGGAAGAATCAGGTGAACTGGGCAACTCAACAAGTGGAGCAGAACATACCTATGGGATTGTACGTACCACTTCTGCGTGTTACGCCTGGATATGATGAATTGATTCCAGTTATAAGTATGTAGCACGTAGCATAGCACATCTCCTTCAAGAAAGGGAGAAGAGAGAG